TGTCAACATTTGGTCCCACACTTTCTTGTATATATTTCAATATTATCTTCCAAGTATAACCGCGTTTTTTGAAATTTCATTTTTTTCATTTTTTTTAAATTATTCATACCTAATTTTAAATTTTAACCTGTCGTTGAAGAACGTGTCTCATTTATTTTTACCGTTCAATTCAAATTTATGAGATCATGATTGCATCGACGGTGACTTTTTTTTTTATTATTTATATATTTCACTTTTTACTTTTGAGAGTGGGTCAATTATGCCCTAATGGACGAAAGGACTTTGAAAAATGCAAAGTGGTAAAATGGAGTTGAGTAATGTGTTGAATATAATCTACGCATTCTCCTTTTATCAGTTTGTCATTATTGCTCAACAAAGAATGCAACTTACAGAACCACACCACCCACTTTTCTCCCTTCTCTTCTTCCTACTTTAATTCCACTCCTGCCATTTGTATAAATTAATACAAAAGACAAACTTATAATCTTTATTTTCTAAATTCACTTTCAACTATTCTTTTAACCCCTATAATGTAAGGATAATTTGCATATATCAATATATCCAACAAAACTGAAACTGAAACTGAAGTCAAAATTAAGATTACGTCTAGTTTCAAAACATAATCGTATTTTTTTCAGTTCATTATATTGTTTATTATAATTAAAAATAAAATACAAATTTAATGTCCATAGACTTAGACAAAAAGAAATTCATTTTTTTGTAAGGTTAAAATCAAATTTAAGGATACCATTGGATAATGATAAATTTCAGCTTTTTTAATATTGGTAAAAAAAAATCAATTTCTTAATATTTTTTAAATAGTTTTTTATTTTTAAATAAAATGAAAATAAAAAGTAAAGTCATGATAAAGACTAAGAAAACTGTATTACACTCAATGTAAGTGAAAGTCAAATAAATGAAGAAAAAACGCACAACCACAAGAAGGCCTTCAACGTCGGTTTTCAACAACCGACGTTGAAAGTCTGATTTTTCAAATTAAATTTTTTTATTTATTTTCAACCTTTCCAACCCCTCTATTTATCTAGAAATCCCCCTCTCTTTTATATTATATTTTGTCATCGACAGGATTCGAACCCAGATCTTAGTGTTGGAGGCCGATACTCCAACCACTAAACTACTCGAATTTTTTGATAGTAAGTTACAAATAAATTATATTTATATACAAATAAATATATATCCGTGTAAATATATAAATACAAATATATTTATATATTTTGATATATTTATATAATTATATATTTATATATTGGATGTGAGGGCACACTCGAAGGTGAAAGTGTGTGTCGAGTGGGTTTTCAAAATTTAATGTCAAATTTGTGAGCGAGTCTCTATATATGGGTTTGTAATTTAATGACAGAATATAATATTTATAATTTATTTATATAATGATATAAAATAAATTTGAAAAACGCATCATTCGCTCAAGTGACACATTCGCTCAAGCGAAAAATACCAATTTTCGCTCAAGCTAGGCTTGAACGAGTGAATTTCGTGAGCTTTAACGTATTTTCACTCAAACGAGAGTCAATCTCACTTTCACCCTTGATCGCGCCCTCACATTCAATATAAAAATATATAAATATATTTGTATTTATATATTTACACGGATATATATTTATTTGTATATAAATATAATTTATTTGTAAATTATTATCAAAATATTATAGTAGTTTAGTGGTTGGAGTATTAATTTTCAACTCTAAAATACTATATTCGAATCCTATCAGTGACAATTCTCTAACTTAAGTGAATTTTTTACTGAAAAAAATAAAAACACTTTCCGGAAAATATATATAAATAAATATATATTTACACAGTATATATATTTATTTGTATATAAATATAATTTATCTGTAAGTTATTATCAGAAAATTACAGTAGTTTAGTGGTTGGAGTATTAGCTTTCAATTCTAAAATACTAGGTTCGAATCCTGTCAGTGACAATTCTCTAACTTAAGTGAATTTTTGGTCTGAAAAAAATAAAAACACTTTCTAGAAAATATAAATAAATATATATTTATACTGGAATATATATTTATTTGTATATAAATATAATTAATTTGTAAGTTATTATCGGAAAATTACAGTAGTTTAGTGGTTGGAGTATTAACTTTCAACTTTAAAGTACTCGGTTCAAACCCTGCCAGATGACAATTCTCTAACTTAAAAGAATTTTTGGTGAAAGTACATTCAACGCTCGGCTCAGGATGAACCGACGTTGAATGTACTTTCTACGTCGCTTTTTAATCAACCGACGTTGAAAGTGCATTTAACGTCAGCTCAGCTTTAACCGACGTTAAATGGCGACGTTGAAATCATATTTTGTAGTAGTGACGGTAGATAGTGAATTAATTAAAAAAATGAAGAAAGCAACCGTCATGTTAAAGTCTTGGGTCTAATTTATCATTTAGAATTTTTATTTTTATTTAATTAATATTCATTACATTTTGTTATTTATTTTGTTGGGTACCTAAATTTTATTTAATATAATTCTCCGTATTAGTTTGTAAGAGTTTTTTTTTTACTATTATTAAATTTAGTTTTTTTATTATCACGTGGATTGTTGCAACATTAGGAATGAAATTTTAAGATTTTGTAAAAATATAAGATTTAGGATAATTGTTGGATGTCTAAAATGAATAACAAATTAAAGTATGGTTTTAGTAAGTTTATAAGCTATTGTCTCAACTATTATCAACAATATAATATTGTTTTTAATTATGAAGTCGTTATTAATATTAATTCAAAACAATATTATAATTGAGTTTATTGTTAAATAATAAAACTCAACCCAATGTAATATAATTAAATTAAATTCATCCTAATCCTTATATCCCTACAAAAAAAAGTTCATTTAGGAATCTTTCTTTCAGTTTATCAACTGAAATAAAGTTCGGAAAAAAGTTAATAATAGAAGACCAAATTAAATAAGAAAGGAATTAACTAAAAAATAAATTAAAATATAATTATATGAATAGGAAAAAAGTTGAATGGGCAAAAGAATTGATTGACGAAAACCTTATTAAGTCAAAATTAGATTTCAATTGTTGTCTTAATATCAAATACTTTTTTTGTCTTTGAAATTGGTATGAAAGAGACTTGAGAAGTCATTTTTCTCAATTTACTGGTTAAGGCACGTCTTAATATTTTGTGAGATCTCAATCGTTTTCCTCACTCAACATATACGACAAAAGTAGCTCTAATTAAATGGTCCCCTGAAAAAAAATCATATTAATTTGTAAAATCATATATAAGAAATAATAAAAAACGCAATTAGGTTTTTATTTTTTCTTGAAGCCTTCTGCCCCTTTTATTCCCATAATTAATTTTTCCTTCCCTTTCATACGTAGTTTTACTTTCTATATTCATTTACAGTGTGATGGTAGTAAATATACATACTAGAACTACGTTATTTATTCTAAATCTTCACCTCTTTAGGTTAATTCCATCCAACTATGCAAGTGCTAAACTCCAATTGCCCCACATAAAGAAGGTTGAACTGCTCCTATGCAAATGCAAAATAGTGATAAGGAGTTTGAATTCTGGTTGGGAAAATCTAAAGTTTGAGCCAACATATATATCTTACGTAAGTTTTACTCAACTAATGAATTGATGTCTCTAAATGAAGGCCAAACATATATAGTATCAATATTTATACTTTATAACCATGAAAAAAAGAGACCAGTTTTATTAGTTTAACTGGATCGACATTTATTATTCTCGTGGCGTAACTTGCACCTAATCTCAAGATTCTGTGATGACTCCGATTGAATAAAGTTAATTTGAGTCAGAAAATTAGCACTGGTTTATATGCTTGTTTTTGGGTCAACTGCATATAGAATTGGTACTTGGTAGGGTAAGTTACTTAAACCATGCAGCAGATTAATTAGAAGTTGCATGTATTCAAAAGGAAAAAATATTTTGACACCACTATTCATACAAACAATCCTGTAAACAATTATATTTTATATTATAATAATAATTTTAACTATTTTTTATTTTTATTTAAACTCTTTCATAATTATTATATTAATAAAATTGTTTTTCTTTCGGTTGTCAAAACATCATCACCCATTCAAAAGTCACTACATATACATCACTACATCTGACATAACAACCGCGTTTTTTTTCGCCTACGTAATCTAAGCAAAATTACATAACTCATCCAAACATTGTTTTGTGGATTACAAGCTAATTTCGTTGAGTTTGAGTCATAGTATTCTGCTATGCCATCCTTTTTTCGTTTCTTTTATTGTAACTTGAAAATACTATAATAATTTTGTCAAAGGCAACCAAACATAACGACACAATACTGCAACTAAGGCCCAAAGATTTCGAGTTTGAAGACGCAACTTTTTACCCTTCTTGTAACTGCACGATTCCATTTTTTACATTTATTTTTGTTACAACATGCACACACTTGAGTTTAGATTTTTTACAATTTTGTCTATAATTATTAAAAATATGATTAAATTAAAATAAATTTTAATTTTTAACAGCTCCTCTTCTAATTTTTTCTCTCTATCATTTCTTCTCTTCCAAATGATTTTGAGTCATCTTTTTTTTTTTTTGCTTACATCTTATACAAATTAGTTTTTCCAACACCATTTTACATTATTAAACTAGCTTCCATTCTATATTCAGCAGTACTGGATCACACCCTTTTCATATAAACGTTCTAAAAACTAGGGTTTAAAAAGAGTATCTTTATTAGAAAGAACTAGAAAAAACTGGGTGGACGTGTGAATAGCAACTTCCATTTTAAAAGACAAAACAGGTGAAACATGGTTCAGTGAGGCCCAATATGTGTGAAATTGGACTTAAAAATTAACCCAATATAATCCGATCCAGCATCTTCTTACCACTTACCAGAAGCAGAAATAAAATATCTCCTCAGCCTTATCGTTTATCTAGACATCCAATTTACGCTCTAACCAATTTGAGTTCGGTTTCTGCGTTTAGTCACCAACGGTCCTACAATGGCGACGGTAACGTTTTCCTTATCCGCTAAAACCCTAACCCTACCCTATCACCCCAAAACCCCAATCTGCAACTTCTCCCCCGTAACCAATCTTCGCTTCCCTTCTTCATTTGTGACCCGAACCCGAAATTGTAACCGGATTCGGGCGTCTCTGGATGGGGATTTCTCAGCGAAAAGGAGCAGCAGCAGCAGCAGCAACGACCAGAGAGAGACGATAATGCTACCCGGATGTGATTACAACCATTGGCTGATTGTGATGGAGTTTCCTAAAGACCCTGCACCCACGCGTGAACAAATGATTGACACTTACCTCGACACTCTTGCCACTGTATTGGGAAGGTTTCTTCCTCTTCCTCTTCTCTGTTTTACCCTAATGTTTCATTATCGGAATAGACGTAGAATTTGTATGTACCTTGTAGCTCTTAATAGTCTAAGATATACGCCAATTTATGTGCACTTTCTGTTTTGTGGAAGACTTTGTTGTTATCGATTTATAATCAAATTTTCATCATCCTCTTCTGCTTGTTTATTAGCATGGAGGAAGCAAAGAAGAACATGTATGCATTTAGTACCACTACCTACACTGGATTTCAGTGCACAGTTGATGAAGCAACCTCGGAGAAATTCAAGGGTAATGCTTTAACTCCCAATTTGTGTCGATACCCTTGTTTCGTTGCTTGATGAATTCTGATTCTTCATCTCTTGTTTATGTTTGTAGGTCTGCCCGGGGTTCTTTGGGTACTGCCAGACTCATATATAGATGTTAAAAACAAAGACTACGGAGGTTATATATATGTTTTAAAATTTCTACATAAATTGATTATGTGTTTGAAGTTCTACTGATTGATAATGTTTTTGCTGAATGTTTGTTGTTCTTTGGTTTTAGGTGACAAATACGTCAATGGGGAGATTATTCCTTGCAAGTACCCTACATACCAACCAAAACGAAGCGCACCTAAGAACGAGAGTAGAAGGTATGAGAGACGGAGAGATGGCCCCCCCCCTGACCGCAGAAGACCAAGACAAGAGGCGGCTGCCTCGGATTCATCCTCTACATGAGGTAGTGGGATCCATTCCACTCATTTTACTTTGTCCTTCCCCTTGACTAATTTGTCTAAAATTTGATACTTGAATGGCTGAATCAAGTACCACAAATCTATCTTCATTTTAATTCGCACTGAATGTCATGGAAGTTTCATTAGCTTTCCCCCTCCCATGCATGCAATTCATGGAATCTTATCTGGCTCTCTGCATATACTTGATTATGCTGTTGCTGCAGTCTTGCAGGTGATTTCCAGTTTTGCTGATATAAACTAATGCCAAGAGAAAGCTGCTCCTTATCACAGCTCTATCATGCTCATGGTCATTTTAACAAATAGACTACTGAGCTTGTGTTAGATTCTCATCAAGATAATACAATGTTCTTGCAGGCTCAAATGGGTATTTTCACGATTTATCTTGAAGAATATGTTCATTTGGACTATACGAGTATGATGATATGTGAGACAAGTGCTAGAGTTCCTTTATATGTGTAATTTGGAGAGCTACTTATCATGCAACCAGTTTGTGTTTTCGTGATAATTTTTTTCTGCTAGTTTCACGGCAACTGCAGTATTAACACATAAAGTTACTGATATGAATTGATCAAGTTTAGATAACATGCATAGCTTTCTATCATTATCTGAAGCAGCCAATTAAGGAATCCTTAACTTAGTCATGCTACAACAATCCCCCATGAATGTAGTTGGCGAAGTTGAATTTGTTGGAACTTGGAAATGGGTGCATTCATAAACCATCCTTGATTGCAGGGTAAAATCTAGGTGAGTTTTTTAGCATAAGTGTTGTAATTCCAGTCGTAGCAGTTGGAAGGGGTGCAGAAAGAAACCACAAGAAAAGAAAATGAGCACATTAGTATAAAAAAAGAGGAAATTATTTATTTTACCTTGCATTGGTTAAAAGAGGAGAAACAAAACGGTGAGGTGTCTCTTTTCCCTCTTTGGTTGAAAAGTAGGGGGAGGTGAAATTAAATATAATTATGCGAATATAGTTAGATTTGTCATTTCAATAATTTCTTTTTCATTATTCTCTTGGGAGAAAACTTGTGGATTTTGCATGATTCAGTCCAGTTTTTTTACTTCCCTTCAAATTATAGTGTTGAAAACTAAGGATTTATTTTTTGTCAACATATTTTTATTTTCTTTTTTAATTTTAAAAATATTATATTGTTTTTATTTTGTTTTTGTTTACAAAAGGTTTGTATATGATATCACTCAAGATTAATTCTATTGTATTTTACATTTTCAACTGTGTTTTATATATTTTAAAAATAGGATTTTAAAATGGAGCATAACCTTTTAGGCCTTATGTGAAGGAGAGTTTTATTTCGTAAAATGTTTTGGCCTGTCTATTTTAAGGTTTTTGTACCTTCACTAATATATTTTTGAAAGTTTGTTTTCTAAAATTTTGAATAGAGCATTTAATGAAACTAGATGAAAAGTATTTGAAAAAAAAATCTAGTTTCTGCTTTGAGTTCTATAAAATACTTTTTATAATTTTCAAAACATAATAAAGTTTGCGTGGGAAACTTTTTGTGATTAAAGTGGATTTGTTCTGAAAATTATGGGGTGTAGGGAATTGGATGTCTGCTCCAGTAGAATATATTTCTGGTAAACGTGAGTAAGCACTGTCTAATAACCCTTTTTATTTTTGGATCTCATTGCCCAGACCCAAAACAAAGTATATATAGGTCTGGCTACCATAAATTATGAAATTGGTAAGTGTGAAATAATTTGTCTAATTCGTGAATCCAACGGAAGGAGGAATAACTAGTCCAATGAATGTTTTAAAAAAGAATCACATATTAAAATTAAAATTAAAAAAATATAATTAAAAAAATTATAATTTTTTATATTATTAATTATAATTGAATATTTTAATATGAAATATAATGATTTTTAATTTATTTATATTAATTAGTAAATAAAAATTTTAAGAAATATATGCATATAATTAAGATAGTGTATTATTTAGTTACTCAAATACGGAAGATACCAGAGACGTCGTTTTGTGTACGCTCTGTTTTATGAAGCCTTTTTCTTTGGTGAAACCACCAGGATTCTCGTGTACATCTTGATTGTGACAATAATTACTTATTATTCAAGCATATGTTTAGTTCCAGTCAAAAGTTATTTTTAATTTAGTTTTAAGCTCTAAGACTGCACACATATTTCTCTGAAATAAAGTATAGTTTGTTGTTAATGGAGCCGGAAGAAGAACTACACCTACTATTTGCGTTGAAGCTTTTAAAATACGGAACTTTACCTCGTTTTAAAGACGGGATTTCATCGCTGGAATTGATCCTCTCAATAGTCTTTCTCATGCTCAAGTAACCTCCATTAAAAAAGTATATACAAATGAAATCTCATTTTTTAATTATAAATTATTTTATTCAATTTGCTTATAAGAAGTTGAATAAAATACCAGTCCCTGTACTTGACATTATTTTGGCAAATCATTAATGATTCATTTTGTCACTCTCACACGCCACTTTGGCTACATAGCCACCCACCAGCCAATACCCATCGCATTGATGTCATGTCAGCATTTGTAGTCCAGCTATGAAAGCCAAATGCTCGTCTTAATCCGAACTCAAAACCAAAAACAAAGACCAATGACCATGTTTTGGTCCCTGCTTCGCTGGTTAGAATTTATTTCTATCACGTTACTACCACAAGTTCTAAACATTGTTTTTATTGTGTAAAAATGCTATTCCAATACTTTTTTTTGTTGCAAACATTGCGGCCCTAAAATATTCTGAGGGGTTTCACCATAATTATGCTCACTGTTTATATAATAATAATGGGCTCGAGCTCCACTATTCAGCTCACCCTCGTCATTAGAGCATCTTTGATTCTGATTTTTTTTATAATTAACATAAAAAAATCATGACCGATCTATGGGATGTCACGTCCACCATGCGAATATTTGTGCATTCCTGAGTTCTCATTCTTGGTCGAGATCAAGTCTCCTCCAATCTTTATCTTCAACGGTTATCTCCCTAATCCCTAAACTCATCATTTAGATGTCATAGTTTGTGCCTTCCGGTTCCGTAGGTAAGGTGTAACGTACGCTTATTGTGCAAGCTGTTTTCGTAACATCATTGTGTCATTTGGTTATTGACACATAATGTGTCGATTAGGCCATTCTAGACAGGATACTTGATTTTTAGATGGATAGTTGAAATTATTGCTCCAGTCGATTTAGCGAAGGTCAACCCAAAACGATGGTAGATGATGACGTTGGATTAATAAAAATCATATATATTTTAAAAAGTTTTATATATATCATATTACATAAATAATGAAATGAGTGATATTAGTTATATAATAGTTTTAAAATTTCATGATATTTTTTTTATATTTTAAACATGTATTGTATTTTTTTTATATAATCTTGTAACATAGGGTTGAGTTAAAAAATTTAATTTAAATTTTTAATTTAAAAAATGTGGATGTATTTGGAACGAAAAAAATTGTCTATATGTAAATTTTTTTTATATAATACTATTATTTAGTTATTATTAAGTAATGGTTATAATTACGTTCGTAATTTTGAAATTTTTACGTTATATTGATATTATATCCATTAGATGATGATGTCTTGATGTCTTCATGATTAAATACCTCATAATAATGATTTTCGTTGTCTGGCCGGCTCAAATGTTGTTCTCTATGTAGGCATGAACTTCCATTTGTTCTTCCGCAAATCCTACTAGGACCCCATTAAAAGGTCTTAGGAAGTCCATCGGGACTCCAAGCCCAACGAAGGTATTACAATACATTACATTATGTCTATCAATATTGGGTCGTCCTAACGGGAAAAGATGTCCTCCATATCTCTGTCTAAGAAGGTTAACAAGTGTTGATCACCCGATTCATGTCTCACCGTTTGGGACATCTGAAACACATTTGCGAATCTCCTCGTGTACCGTTTTTTGGTCGAGCTTGTGTTGTCTCCTCCCGCAAATCCCCTGACAATAGTGTTGAAGTCACTGAGTACGGTATCTTGTGCTCGTCTTTGCCCCATTGTAGTGATTTTCTCAATCCCTCATCTTTTCCCTGTTTTCCATGACGTCGTAGGCATCCTGTCAGATCAATTCCTTCCTTAATATGTTGTATCAACGCGTAACACTTCTTTATGTTATGGCTCCATGTTCAGTGGAACTCACACCACGAGTTTCGATTAGGGTTCAATTGTGTGTCAACCTTTTTAGGATAGGTGAATAGTGTTGAAAGTCCCACATCGCCTATCTCATATCATTTGGTATGGTTTAAATACATGTTAGACTACTCCACATATTGCCAATTGGTTTTATGTTGGAACCTTAACATGGTATCAGAGCCAAAGCCTAACATCTTTCCGGTTATTGTCATGGGCCAAAAGTTGCCCTTTAGTTGGGTCAAAAGTACCCTTTGCCTGGTCCGGCAGGCTTCGTTGGAGGGGGTGTGTTGAAAGTCCTACATCGCCTACCTCATATCATTTGGTATGGTTTAAATACATGTTAGGCTACTCCACATATTACCAATTGGTTTTATGTTGGAACCTTAACAAATAGTTTTAGGGTGTTAACGTCCTTGATCAGTTGTATGTTTGTCATGTTTGAAGGGATTTGCACTTCTTTGGGTAATCTCTGATTTCCCTCCTTATGTTGGGGGGTATCATGATGCCTATTGCTCCTATTCCAACTATCTTCATGAGTTTTATTGGTGGAAAAAGTGATTTTCTTTTACCACTTCTTCACATGCGACGTCAAATATTGCTACTCAAAATTCCCCTCCCTTTGATTAACAATACTTTATTATATTTTTTTCCTTTCCTAACCCTAGTACCTCTTTTTATTTAATTCGGTTTGGATCCGAACCTTCCTGGTTCAGTTATTATTTTATATGCGTATTTCCTGATAATGACCACGATTTTTAACAAAACTTCGGTCATCGTATCCTAAGAAAAGAGATCATTGATAAAATGGTTTATCTGAACACCATACAAATTATAGACACTTTAATGATTCATATAACATAAAACTAATCTTTCAAAAATGATTAAAATTTTAAAGAAATAATTGATATGATAATATATTTCATTTTGCTAACACTTTATCATAATTCGTATTTAGTTAGAAACGTTTTAGGGATTTCATTTGTTGTTTCTCATTCCTGATTCTTATTTTATCACTCTTTCCGTGAGAAGGATGAAAGGGAAGCTTTGGCATACTTAGGGCCACCACCGACTACCTGTTTAGGGGTTGGTAAGCTTTTACACTTGACACATGCTACATTATGGGTTTGGCCTTGTCTTAATTTTCTAGGTAAAAGAAACGCCATTTTCAGAATAATTTTATAACAATTTTAAAAACTAGATAGAAAAAAGAAGAGAAAAATTTGTAAGATAAGATGAATAATGCCATGTAAAAATGTAAAAAGCATCATAAAAAGACAATTTATCTAAAAAAGAAAACCTTGGTAAAGTAAAATTTCTTCTTTCCTTGCATAATTGAATGTGGACATTTTTGCTTAGATAAGGACGCTGCGGTGGGTGGGAGAGTTATGGTGCACTTAAAATACTTTTCTTTTTGCACTATTCAACAGAAAAACTTTAAAGATGAAGGAAAAAGCTTTCTTTTTCATTACCGGACAGATAGCAGACTTTCATGTCCCTTCTGTTTCACAAGAAACTTAATCCTGAACTCATGTCATAAGTTTCTGTAGAACTGTACCCTCTTTCGAAGGTTCCATCTGCAATTTCTGATGAAGCATGGCTTTCTACAGCTCTTTCTATTCTGCTTCTGATTATGGTGAGTACAATTTCAACTCTTATTCTCTCAATTATGATAATGCTCAAATTCCATCCCCTGTGGCTTACGCTGGCTATGAGTACAATCAACCATATTATGCATATAATCCAAGTTTATACTATGCTCCTAATAACCCTGATGAGGCTTACCAAACCATATCATACTCTGCCACAACTTATACTGATCCAAAATCAATTTTGTATGATCCCAATTATGGTATGAGTCAGCTTGTGATTTCTTATTCTAATGTGGAATTCAATGTCCCTGAATTTGAGGATTATGACTCAACACCTTATGGTGGTGGGTATGACATTGATCAGACCTATGGCAAACCTCTAGCACCTTCCGATAAAATTTGCTATCCTCGTTCTGGGTCAAGTCCAATTAATGACCCCATTACCGGGGCCATAGTGCCACTTCCTACTATAGAAGAGGTAACTGAAGAGAAAGCAATCACACCCCAGGATGGAACTGCAGTTCAAACAACTGCAGAAAAACCTCAATTACAAGATAGTGGTAGAGATCAGACAAGGGAAGTTGAAGAAAACAACCATGAAGATGAAGACAGTGAGAGTGAGGGAGGTGATCATGAAGATGACTACCATGTTGTGTCTGGTGTTGGAAGTGGGTTTGGTGAAGGGTACAGTGGAGGACAGGGTTATGAGCATGAGAATCAAGTGGCTCCTCAATATCCTAGTGGATATGGGTTGGAAGCTGTGGATATTTGTGAAAGCTTGTTCGGGTATTGGCCTTGTTTGGAACGTATGAAGAAGAAAGAATGTTATTGTAAAGAATTGGCTTCCAGAGGAAACAATTGTCAGGAGAACATGTGGCAAGGTACTGCAGATTATCTATTTGGGAGTCCATATCCTTATGGTGAAAGGGGGGAAGATGGAAGCGGCTATGGAGGAGAACTTGTCTATGGCTATCAAAGGCACTATCCAATGCAAACACAGTACAAACAGATTGATGATCATAATCGTGAGTCTTGGTGAAACACCAAAACAACTTATTCTAAGGTGTAAAGTTTGTTTCTGTTTAATAAATGTAAAATTTGGATTCGAACATGAGAAAAGAAGAAAATTTCTTGCTTGGTATTCTACCTGCCGCAACAGCACCTGGTTCATTTACTTAATTCTTTGTGGGAGTGTGTGAGCCAGTGTTGTTATTCATTATTTGTACACAAGACGAACTGCTCTCAATTGGTTAAAGAGTTACGCCATAAAATGTTTAATAACCAACTGCAAGAAATTTAGTTTCATAGTGAGAAGGACATGTTGCAGATATAAAATAATTGTAATAATCTTAAACTCATGCCCATTTATACTTAAATTTTAATGTTAAAATGTTTTTTTTTTTTTTTTTAATTCTGAATCCTCTCTGTGAAAGCCGCATGTAAAATCAAGAATGAGTCAAAAATAGTTTTCAAACATGTATGTGTGTATTCCTCCAATGACCCAAGCTTTTGTCCGAAAGCTATTGTTGTATAAATCCTATATATCTCATAAAATTTTGGAAGCGAAATCACATTCAATTAGATGGGGTAAAGGTTGTGCTATTGAGGATGAAAACACCAAACATTTGTTGTTTGAATTCATGTTCTTTTAAAGTGTGATATGATTGTCTTGGTGGCAAGTGCAATCTGTGTTACATAATGAGGTCTATTTTAGTTATAAATTAATTTGATAAAGTATTTATTTTTTTAAGAATAAATATAAAAAAGTTTCTAACATTCATTTATTCTATTATTTAATAATTAAGATAAATTATTATTTTAAATAAATAAATCACTAAATAAAAAAATGAGATAATAAAAAATAATTTTTTAATTTTTATTTTAAGGTTAAATAGATTTTTTATTTATAATGTAAATATTAAATTATTATATTTAAAATAAAAATTAATTTAATTAATATAATTAAAATTTTTAAAAATATATATTTTTTTTATTAACTATTTTTATATAAATATATTAATAAATTTTTATTTTTAATTAAAATAAAATTGATCTATTTGTCTGTTATTCTAATATAAAATTAGACTAAAAAAAGTATGATCATTTTGAAAAAAATAGGTCGATTCTATCATTAATTTTTTTTTTTGGTTATTTGATACATAAGATTAGATCTTACTAGGTTAGACAATACATTTTGATAATTTTATATATTTTTTTTAAAAAATTGGTCTGTTTTTCGTGTTAATATTTTTTTCCTTTTCTTTATTAATATTGTCATTGATATGGACTTTTAGCCCATTTCACTTTTGAAATAATATTTTGATTCGAACTTTTTATATCTCATCAGTTTTTTTTTCCTGATATCTTATTCATTTTTAAATATATATTTTAAACATATTTTATATTTCGAAAATTTCATTCTAAAATAAATATAAAGTAAAAGAAAACAACAAAACAACAACAACAATAATAATAATAATAGAAAATTACAGCAAAAAATTCATATACATTTCTTTCCTTAATTATGTTATCTATCCTAATTTTTTCATGAGGAATAATTTAATTTAAAAAAATAAAATTCATTTATGTAGTATTTTATTGTTTATTTTAATTACATTTTCATGCATTATAAATATTATATATATATATATATATATATGAATTATTCATATTTTTTATAATAAAAATTAATTAAAGTATATCATAATGTAGGCTCTACTTTTGGAATTTATTAAAATAAATTACAAACTCAAATTAATTCTTCATTACAGCAAAAGATAACTAAGATTCTTCAGATTGCATGACAATAATAATAATAATAATAATAACCCAAACATTATAATTGTTCACAAATTTAAAATAACATTTGAAGTGCTTTTCTAATCATACCCTTATTTATATACATTAAAACAATAAATTTTACGAATTTGTTACGTTAAATTTTATGAACCTACTACATTAAATAGAAGTATTCTACAAATATAATAACTACTATTTTGTAATAGTTAATATTTTTGCACTAGATATGACTAGGCTAAAACTATAATTTTAGAATAGAGGGAATATTAAAGAGTGCAAAAGGAGTTTTTATCATATATTTGAGAATGGGAACATTGTTTTGGAAGGTAATTTTGTTAAACAACTTCTTTTTAAACATGTTCTAAGTGTCTGTTTGGAATCATATTAGCAAACGTGATTAGTGTCAGTGATAAAAATATTGGTATTATATGCTTCTATCCCAATTTATCTTCCATTTAAGATTTCTGGATTAAGAAATAAAATGATGAGTGAAGTAGTAATATTGATTTTCTGTGGACCCTTTTTCAAAGTCTATTATATTCTGATGTAGGGATCTCAAGCAACTTCAATTTCACAACACAATCTTACGTGCTTTTGCCTTCTTCGACTCTTGCACCTGCTTTAATCTACTTCTGGGAATAAAAAAACTACGACATATGTTTTGGGAAGCTTTGGGCTCATTAAGAAGATTAATTAGGTGCATTAAAATTTTAATCTTCTAATAATGGTTTGACATAACCACTTGCGTTCTTTGCATAAAGTATTGTCACCTAAACTAATAAGAGGAAAAGAAGAAGAAAGAAAAGAGGATGAAAAAATAATGGTGTCTAGAACATTGGACATGGCATGACTTTGGAGATACTTGAGAGGTGATAGTAGTAAAAAGAGGAAGAAGAAAACAGAAGAAAAATGAGTAAGAAAGTGGAAAAAAAGCCACTGATGGCCCCCCGCAACCGCAGATTAAGGTTATGTTTAGCACTTACGTACAAACATGTCATTATCCAAACAAAAGCATCACAAATCGTAAAGCCAAAGATGTTTTCAACCACAACATAATCATTATTTATTCTTTATTATTCACTATTCTACTAATCACATATCATATCCAAATAATAAAATTATACAATAGTTCATGTAACATTTTCTGTCAAGATTAAGCAGTGTCAAAATAATATATAAAATAATTTAATTATTTGGTCAATTTAATGGATATAATTTATGTAAATGAAACGTTATCTTTATTCCGTTTCAAACTTTGGATTTGATGTGCTTCCTTGTCACATTTCCTGGTCATGGATTGTAACGCAAGGGTAGTTTGTTAATTTCACACACGCATATAATCCATGTAATGCCAACCAAGAACATAGAAATTGTATCGACTGTCCTCTCTGGCTCCCACTTCCAATCATAGTGTTCAGAAACTATGTTTGTGTTGTGATGCCTTAAAAACCCTGTTAAAACCTCAAGCACCAAACTCCTCTCTCAAAAGCTACTTCATTAGCTTCCTCCTTCACCACTCATTCTCCTCAACATGTCTGTGCCAAACAGATCTTTAGAGGCCATCTTTCTTGCTTTTGTTGTTCTTTCTTTCTCGGTGGCTGCTGCATACTCGTCTATTCATGAGCTTCTCCGAAGCCATGGCCTACCAGCAGGGCTGTTCCCAGAGAGTGTAAAGTCATACAATTTGGACCAAAGGGGTCGTTTGGAGGTGAACTTGGATGGTCCTTGCATGGCCAAGTATGAAACAAGAGTGTTGTTTGAAACCGTGGTTCGAGCTAACCTTAGTTTTGGTCAGCTCAAGGGGTTGGAGGGTCTTTCCCAGGAAGAGCTTTTCCTATGGCTACCTGTGAAGGATATCATTGTCAACGATCCATCTTCTGGTCTCATTCTCATTGATATTGGTCTTGCACACAAACAGCTCTCTCTTTCTCTCTTTGAAGATCCCCCAGTTTGCAGATCCCAAGGTACTGTTTCTCTCACTTCGTATAGCTGTATCTTACTGATGATGACTTGTCATCAATTCTTTTGAACTTTGAACCTTTCAAATTATGAGGTTTGAATAGGAATCATAGTGGAAAAGCATATGCAATGCATGCCATTTTCTTCTCAGTCATTATTACTTTCCAGGCTGTCAAATGATGATTAGGTGTATTTCAATTCTCGTTAACTTTGCCTTCTAGTTTTCATTCCATTTTGATTTCAAAAATTGAATGTGGGGTGCAGGTCTTTCACTAAATATTGGTGGAAGGAAGAGCATTGGATTTCAAGATCAGAGATGAAGAATTGCTTGTTTATCTGAAAAAGATGGTTTCTTCTTTTCTCTTTACAATTTTGTTTTGTTTTTCCCTTTCTTTTTCCTTTAAAAATAAATATATGATGTAATGTGCATAGATCCAATGAGAGTTGTGATTATTAAATTAGAAATCAGTCAAGGGAAAACAAAGAAACTGATAGGCGGTGTTTATTGTAAAAAATCTTTATGCAATTTTGTTTGCCGCTTTTTTCTTCTTCTAATGTTGATGAGAAGTTATTTGATATTATCATACCATATCATATTATTTCATTTCTTCTTTTCTTTTCCTTTTACCTTTTTCTTTACTTAATGATGTTATTCTTTGAAAGAAAAAGGCTACCTGATCCTATGTTGAAGATATTCAAACAATCTGCTAATATTGACCATTGTTTGCCAGATTTGCCTTTCAAATTTTGAGCGGGAAAATTCTTAGTTTCTTTTGAGTTAAAATTAAGATTAAGGTGAAGTTCACATGAACATTACATAAGATCATAAATCAAACTGAGACAACCAAAAGGATGAAAACTGAGGTTCTAGTTTGTTTAATTTATTTGACAATATGGTCAATAATGCTGGTCAACCATGAATTTCTATGTAGTGTACCTTTTTCTTAGTTTGATGAGAAGAATAATGATACTCTGTCCTCTTCATCAGCATTGAAAATCTATTTTCATTTCAAAGTACACTACAATATTACTTCTTTGATTTTAAGGTTTAATCAGTCACAGCCTTTCTTGTCTCTCTGTATATCCTTCCCCTGCATCACTCTTGTTATCTAACAACACTACAGGCATGCTTGATAAGGATGACTTATTTTCATTAATCATTTAACTTAATCTTCAAACAGAACAAAGGTACAAACACGAAATTGTTAAACAAAATCTTTTATGGGTAATTTTCTTGTCTGCATGTAAATTTACTCAATTTTATTTTATTCTTAGTTTTATTTTACTCAGTTGTGTTATGTAATCTTTTCTAACTGTTAAAAAACATCTTTTTCTAATCCAATTACATATTGTAGGTTATAATAATTGTTTGATGGTAAAAAAAATACTAAATATGAATAACGAGGTGAGATGAATGTATATTATTCATTAACAATTATAAAAAATTTTAGTTACAATAAAGTAAAATTTCATCTCAACTTATTGATATGTAATAAATAAAGTCCATCTCAACTCCTATTCCTATTCTACATGTCATTGATAATGTCTTTTAACAAATTCTTGGTTTGATTAATTTCAAGTCTTTCTCCATCTTTGCCCTGTCAATAACAAAAGTGAATATTACAGCTTAAATCTATCAAGCAATCATAAACCAGTGCAAGGGTGAATCAAATTTCATCTTCTATTATGAATTTGAAATAGAGGGTGTTATTTTACTGTGATGAAATCAAATTACTGATGGTCAAAAAACAAATTTTGATTATTATCATTTTGATAATCACCTGTATGCAGCTTGTAATGAGAAATGCTCCTTTTATGGTTGTAAGATGAGTGTCTATGAGTTCAATGCCAAAGTAGTTGAGTGTCTGTATCAATTTGCTGAAACCTCCTCTCTTATTTTCAATGATGATCTTGACCCAGAGTTTATTCTCATCTATTTGTGCCACACTGACCTCTGCCTGCAGAAAGTAAGAGTGCTAATATTGGTGATTAACAGTTGTAGAGGTCATTCATTCATTCTTTCAAGGAAGGATCTTAATCATAGATGACCTGTATCCCCCAATTCTTCATATTTTCCACAGCCTCAACTTCATCTATTTTTGCCTCAGCTGTTTCCTCTGAAGTTGTTTCCATTTGGTGAAGCTGTTGGCTGAGACTTTGGACTTCGTCTTGCAGCTTCTCAATGTAGGTGATAGCATCTACAATAATTGTTCCTCTATTCATCTAAATCAAAATTTAGAGTCTATAATGAGTTTACATGCCAACAATTAATGTAACAATTTACAAATTAAACCATGAAAATGAATATTAAACATCAGATAAAGAAGGAAAAGTAAGAAGAGGAGGGTTAAGGTATTTGCATTTGTGATGATAGGATTTATAGACCGCAGCATCAAAAGCCTCCTACTGAGCTTCTCCCTCCTTCTCCTTTCAACCTCAAGATTTTTTGATTTGAACTCTCTTGTGTCATCATCACAGTTCCTCTTCCTATTCATCCTTTGTGTGTTACAATCATTTTCTTCCATGGTAACACACATCCAATCTTCATCTTCATGTTCCATTTGTTTAAAAAACTGGTGTTAGGGAAAGTGAACACAAACAGGTACTAAAAGAAATGTGTTCTAAGACTTTGTAGATAAAGAATAGGTTGGTAGCTATGTAAGTGCTTCTTCATGTCAGAGACAGAGAGAGAAAGTACATTAATGCTTGTTTTGTGGTCCCTAGTTAATTCAGGTATGTTTCTTATGATAAGAGATAAATATGTTTGTGTTTGACAGTTTAAATGTACCCTCTGCTTGTTGGAATCTTCCTAACAGAATGTGATTATGAATTCTGTGGATATTTTAATATGCAGTTAGAAATCACATTGAAGTTCAACCTAACTTCTTTCTTTGATGTGTAGTATTTAAAAATTTTTCTTAAATCACATTTACATTTCTTTAATTTTTTTAAATTGTATTTTTAATAAAGTAGAACTTAAATCCCTTTTTATTTAATAAGTTACACAAACACTCAATCTTGTTTTTTTTTTCTCTTTTAAGCATTTAGTTTTAAATGACTTTTATTTTAGGTATTTATTATGTTCAAAATTTAAGATAAGATTTTTATTTTATCTCTATTTTATATATACTTTTGATTAATTTATATATTTATCTATTGTTAAAAAAATAGAAATTTAAGTGTTAGTTAGAACAAACTCCTAGAATAAAAGGTAAGTATATTTTATTTTGAAAAAAATATCACAACAATATAAAATGATATTTACGGCTTCATTTGATTACTTATTTGTAGTTTTGTATAGACACAAAATACTGTAAATAAAAAGAATAATTTGACTCGTATTCTTTGGTAAAGTACATATAAATATTTCATGTTTTAGTATGATTCTGAACCTTTGAAAGTGGTACGGAAGTAACACGGTTGTTTATGGCCTGCCTATGCGTCGGAGATGTTATATTTTAGTTTGGATTTCAATATATTTAATTTCTCAAAATATAATATTTTTATTTAAATTTAATTTATTTTTAATCTTTAAAACTATACAAAAATATTAAATTATATAAGTTCTATTAAATATTAGAAAATTCTGTTTTTTTTTTAATATACTACAAAATTTTCTCAGAGGATTATAAATGAACCTAAAATCTTTCACTTGTATGCATTATTAAAAGGAATGTCATCTAGTACCAAGTAAGAATACACCAATTAAAAAAATTCTGTAATAAAATAAAAAATGGTGTCTCTAAATTTTCATAGTAGAGATGATAGGAAAGATACGTAATAAACAAAATTTATTATTATATGCTTAAAAATAATGAAATTATTTTAAATAATCAAATATCTCATGATGAGTATAATAATTTTTAATCCCAAAATTAATACATCTTATTTTTTTATATTTAAAATATTAAATAACTATATTATCCAAAGTTAATTAATAATATATATATATATATAAAAGTTATTGTAAAAATAAATGTTCATATTTATTGTTAAACAACATTGTTAAGTAAAAGAAATTACAAAAATATTATATCTTATATTTTTAAATTATAAATTATTAAAGAAGTTGTGTTCTAATCACTTAGATAGTTATACCTAGCATCATTTACACTCTAATCAATGAGATAGTCAAACAAGTTCATATATATATATATATATATATATATATATATATATATATATATATATATATATATAAAAGAATGAAGTTATTTTAGAAAAAAATTATCACAAAAGTTTTTTATTGTCTGCTGCATAAATATTATTCAACTAAAATCTGATATATATATATATATATATATATATATATATATATATATATATATATATATATATAGTTTTACATCTTTTAAAGGTTAAAATAATATTTTTTTACTCAATTAAAATCTGAAAAGAAAAGAGTAGTAAAATAAAATAAAATTCATTTCATGGAAAGTCTTACCTTACTTCAAAAGAGTATTTAACATACAACAAAATTATGCATACAAAACTGAAAAAAATGATTTAAACTGGTCTTATTTGTCATTGATAATATCTTGCAACAAATGCTTGGTTTGTTGAATTTCAAGTCTTTCACCGTCTTTGTCCTGAAGAGTAAAAATGTCAGTTAAATAATTGAAGTAAATATTAGGCATTATTAAGTCTTAGAAGGTAGAAGGTATCAATGCTACATTATAATCAAAATTCATCTACAACTCTCTTAGTATGATTTAATAAGATAGAGAATATTATTTTAGCTATGATGAAATCATACTCATTGACAACAAAAACATGTTTAAGTGTTGTCATTTTCTTTTAGAATCACCTGTATGCAGCTTGTAATGAGGAAGGCTCCTTTTGTAGTTGTGAGGTTGGTGTCTATGAGTTCAATGCCAAAATTATCCAGAGCCTCCATCAATTTGCTGAACCTCCCTCTCCTCTTCTCAATGATTATCTTAATCCAGAGTTTATTCCCGTCTATTTGTGCCACACTAACCTCTTCCTACACAAACCAACAGTGGCAAGAGACAATTAGTAATTAATATTTGTAGAGACTTCATTTATATTTTTCCAACAACTAAATAGAGAATCTCATAGATGACCTGTATTCCCAAATTTTTCATATCTTCTGCAGAATCAATATCATCTATTTTTGTGTCTGCTGTTTCATCTGAAGTTGCTTCCATTTGGTGAAGCTCTTGGCTTAGACTCTGCACTTTGTCTTGAAGTTTCTCAATATAGGTGATAGCGTCGTCAATAATTGTGGCTTTATTCATCTAAAATCAGAATCAAAGTTTAAAGCAGTTTAGATTATATTCCAACCATTTGTAAATTAAAAATTGAATGAATATCAGAAAAAGAAGAATATCAAAAGAGTAAGTGAGAGCTTAGGCAGTTGCATTAGTGATGATAGGCACTATAGCACGCAGCATCAAAAGTCTGCTACTGAGTTTCTCCCTCCTCCTCCTTTCAGTCTCAAGATTCTTTGATTTGAACTCTCTTGTGTCATCATCATAGTTCCTCTTCTTACCCATCCCTTGCCTGCTACAACCATTTTCAGTGGCAAGAGAAAACTCTTCCATAGTAACACACAACCAATCCTCATCTTCATACTCCATTTGTGGGGGAGGGGGAATGGGTCTTGGGTAAAGAGAGAATTGGTTGGTGGCTATATAAGTGGTTTTCATAGAGGCATCATGTCAGAGAAACAGAAGAAGAGAGAGAAAGTACATTGATGCATGTTTTGAGGGTCTTTTTTGGTGTGGTCCCAAGTTAGTTTAGGTATGTTTGTTATGACACATATATTTGTGTTTGGCTGTTTAAATGTCTCTTTTGCTTGTTGGAATCTTTGTATTTATTTATTTATATATATATATATATATATATATATATATATATATATATATAAATAAAATGTGATTAGAAATCACATTCAAGTTGTTCCTAATTTTTTTAATTGATAAATAGTCTGATAAAGGGCATTATTCTGATAAAAGACATTTGACAGCTTATTTGTGATCTGGATCGAGGCACAATGCTATTACTGAAGAAAGAAGAAAAAAATCACTCAAGCTTTGGCAAGGTCCAAATAATCTTAGATGTCATTTTGGTATGATTCTTTCTTAGGCCTTTACAAATTGGGCTTGCTGACTGAAACTGCAATAACACTCTTCAAATAAAAGCAGACCAAATTCAATTTTCAAAATATAATTTTAAAAATATTCTTATTCTCAATTTTTTTAAATTTAAATAATAAACATATATTATCAATTATAATAATAATTATAATATTATTATTTTTATAAAACATATAGTTTATTTATTTATATTTCTTATATCTCAATTTTACATAATTTATATTATATTAATTTGTTACTGTTAATAGATATTTTGTATTAATTAATATTTAGACGTAAGTATAAAGATATATTTGATTAAGAATTTTATATTTATTTCAAATGTTAAGAATGAAATGTAATAATTTTTTGTTTGTTTTTAATATTATAAAGTTATAATATTATATTTATTTAGTATTATTTTATATTTTTTATTATTTGATTGAAATAAGCTGTTAAATTGAATTATTGAATGTTGACTTGTATGTACTAGTTGGTCAAGAGAGAGGTATCATTTAGCACTAATCGAATTCGCATACACTAAATACTTGAATCACGTAAATAGCTTAATAGGATCATTTGTGGAAAATAAAATTAAGTATAGAATCAACAAAATAGAAAAAAAGTTTGAACAAATACCATTGTCGCGTTCTTAATGAATTACTTTCTTACCCATAATGAAATGAAGGAGAGAAAGGATTTTTGGTAAAACCAAGAAATGATGAAATTTGGAAAGAGGTTTTCATGGTAATTGTGGAGAGATACGATGTATCAATAAGGAAAAGTGTATGAGTTAATAAGAAAATTAGTTGAGTTCAACCAACAAATATATGTTTATGAAAAGTAAAAGAAGATTAAGTATTAAAGATTTTAATTCTTATTAATGTGAAAATTGATTCAATTAATTCAACCTGTCCATATTTTTTATTTTAAAATAATTAAATTTTAATTATATGTATATAATTGAAAAAAAAGACTGAATTTGAAGATGAAATTAGTTTTGATTAAAAAAATTCAAAAAAATCAAAATCAATTTTTTTATAAAAAAAATAATATTTTTAAGTTTTTTTCTTTCTTTATGTGAACATTAAATAATTATTATTATTATATTACATTATAATAATTATTTATCTTCATTTTTTATTTATTTTATATTTGTAATTTTTATAATAATTTTATTTTTATTTTATTTATAAAAATATTATTTTATTGAACATAAATTTATGTCTATCAGTCTGATTTTAAAAATATTATTAATTTTTTTAATCTATCCTTTCTAGTAAATTGAGAATTTTTATTTTTAATTTAAAAAAAAAGTATTGTGAGTGATATTATTAATTCAAAATATGGAGGGTGGAGAGGCATTTTAGGTGAAGAGAAAAAGAAAATGTTTATTTGTGGTGGAGGAACCTATGTAATTTGTGGTGGTTAAAGGAATATAACTAGTATTAAAAATTAGTAGAGTGAACAATTTGGAACGGGAGAAAATTATTTTTCGTCATGATTGATATGGTTAGATAAGAAAATCTAGCTACTATTTATGGTAGAGTTTCTGTCAACTCTAACTTTAAAGCATGTGGAGGGACCAATATTTGAGTCGATCATTTCAAAATGAGAATGATTTGATTAACGAGACGTGGTTCACAAGACTATTGGATATGACTATGGAGACCTTTGAAACATATTAGGAACTCATGCGAATACATGTACTAAATGAGGCTTTTAGCTTGTAGGAATGTCTCTTGAGTGTAATGGCAAAGCATGTTCATTCTGCAATTTGAATGATATATCTTTTAGGAACAAAAAACAGTAACACATTTGATAATAAGGGATAGTGTTCTTGGACATGGATTTAAGGATTCACAGGAGGAATTTCCTTACTACATGAGATGAATCCAAGACCTTGTAATCTCTAATTATTTGGTCAAACAAAGCATTACCTAATAACTACACATGAAGCAGCATTTTTATTTGTTGCCTTAGATTGGAGAGGTTTGGATTATTGCTACGGTAATGATACATCAAAGGTACCATTCTAGCTGCATTGAGGCAGAAATTGGTAAATGATGATGGCAATTGATTTTGGGTGAGAATTTCCCGATTCAGACGTTTCCATTCACATGAAATCATGTGGACAACATGCCTTTTTGCCTCTTCAGCCGACACATTTTGGTGTTCATTCATGTAGCAATCCAGGTATGACCCATCAAGTCCCTTCTCGTGATTCTGCATTTATTCACATCGTCAGATTAGGATTAAGACATGACATGGTTAGAATAAATAACCTTCCTAACATTTTACCTTAGCTCCTTCTAAATCATCCGATAGACGAAGAATTTTTGCCACTGAATGAACAATTTGAGGAAAGTTGTCCATAATAGCAACAGTTTCCATGTTTATGGAGTGATCCAAGAGGAAGAATGCATGGACAAGCACCACATGCACTCCTGTGCTCACAATTCCATTCTTCAAGTACTCCTCTGATCTTGCCAAATGACCTCCATTCAACCAATGTGCCTCTTCCAAGAAAGCATTCAACAAATGCACCCACTGTTTCATAAGTATGAATGAATACTTCAGCTTTCAAAAATTTGTACTGCTTATTAAAAAAAATACCTCATGTGACATTCATGATGAAAATGACTCTACCGATCTTTTTAGGGTTTCTATAGGGTTTAATCCATGTCTTTTGTATATCATTTGGGCGAAATCATTGGTAACGTCGTAAAGAACACTCAGACATATTTTCATGAAGTCTGGAAGCTCCTCTGTACCAGCCAATTCCCACCTGAATTGAGAAAAATTAATTCGTTGTAAGGATTAGAATGGAATACCACATGCTAAAATCTAACACTTCATCTGCTAAAACCTATTTGCAATATGAACTTATATTATATATCCCAAAATTATCTCGAAACAATAAAAGTTATTTTTGTAGTATGTAAAATTATTTCTATAATCATTTTTTAACAATTTTTACAAACTAGTATTTTATCTTGTGAGTGTAAAAAAAAAAACAATTATTTAATTAAAATTTATCATAAATAAACGCATTTGAATATATAAATTATATTTTGAATTTATAATATATAATTAAATTGTCATATAAAATTATTTAAAAAATATAAACAATTTACGTAGAACAAGAGAAAAGAGAAAAAAAAAAGAGGGAAGAAAAATAGATTAAGAAAATTATGTATAAAAATAATCAAAAGAAAAATAATTTGAGATGATTTAGAAAAAGAAATATATTGATTATATAAATAGTGTGTGAAATATTCTTCTAAAAAAATATTAAAAATATCAAACTGAAATACGAGAGTGAACCTCATAATCATCAAGGTTGTCACGTCAACTTATTGAGCAAGTTGTGTCTAACATCTAATCATTTATAGCACAAAAGTAGACTATTTTACCTTTTTTCTTTCGAATTAAAATAATATTTTTGACAGCCATTATAACTTTTAGTATAATAATATATTTTATTATTTAATTAATATATATAATTTTTAGTGGATGTGTGGGTTGTGAACCCATAATTTCCCTATTTTATTTTGTACGAACCTCACTATTTATATTTTCTGCGATAATAGAAATTATTGTAAAAATAGTTTAACTGTACTAAATTTTAAAATTTAAATAAAATACAAAATTACAATAAAAGATGCATTGCTGATTCAAACAAGTCAATGAATAAAGTATAAGTAGTTAAGAATTATGGGGAAATATTTTTTTAAAACAAAATATAAAATAACGGAAAAATTAATGCAATTTAAAGTTAAAATTTGAAATTAAAAATCTTAATATAATAAATGATTTTTTTAAAATATTTAGTAATTTGATTTTTAAAAAATATAAATGTATTAAGCAATAAAAAAGTCATGGAAAAGAAAAGAAATATATATGGAAAAAAAAAATCATGTGGAATTTGATTACCGATTAACAGCATCTGTAAATAAAGTAAGTTGGTCTAATGTTCCATAAACATCGAAGATGTCATCAATAAGGTAGATTAGAGAGATGGATTTGGTGAGTTCAATCCTTTGCTCTGAAAAGCGTGGATCTGTGAAGCATGCCATGGGCCAAATGTACCATTTCAGAGGTTGATACGTAGAGAAATTCTCCTCCCTCGCCATTCCAAGATCTTTCCACCATCTGTTAATTAATGTAAGAAAAAAGGTGATTACTACTGCTAAAATGAACATATAAAAGAGGGATTACTAGTCATGAAACTTACTTGTAAACTTGTATGATTTCATTCTGGTTCATCAACCTAACTATGCAGGAGTTGATTTCAGCAAGTTCCTCTAAGCATCTCCATTCTTTCTTGGTCTTGTAATCACTTAGAACTATACTTCTGTCTCTGAATCTTGATAAGCCATAGTGAAGTGGATGCTGAAGAGTGTTAGCCACATACATTGCTTCATGATGCTCTTTATGTCTTTTCAACCATGCATGAAGAAGTTGGCGGCTGAGGTTACCTGCATCATCTAGACTATCTTCTCCTTCAATACTTAGCTGGGTTGCCTCATGCAGAGCAATTAGACTCTTCACATCTTCACCATATTTTTCTCTGAACTCTCTTTTGTTACTCTTCAAACTGTCAAATACATCTGCACACCCGTTAAAGTTGGTAGCTGTAGTTAGCATTTAGTAACAAAATCCTTCAACAAAAACTAAGCTCAGCTAAGATGAAGATGAGAAATCCCTTTCTTTTCCATGTCATAGTATTGCTGGTAGATTATCTTTAGTAATAGTTAAATGTTTATATTCTTTAATTTTTATACGTAATTCATGTTAATTTGTCATGCTAAACATTTCAGTTCAGTAACCAGATACTTGGAGAGCAATAAAAATATGATAACAAGAAAAGATAAAGATAAATAAAAAAACGTAAATATTGTATGGTCGTCAACAGTTTGTGTACAGAGTGAAGATAATTTGAACCTGCGTGAACATGACGGCCTCTTTGTCTAAGTAAACGAAATTGAAGAGCAAGTTCATAAAGTTTATGGTTATTCGCCAAATCACTGAGATGAGTGCTAAATATGGAATGTTGCTTCTGAAGAACGGCTTCAATTTCCCCTTCAAAATGGTGTTCGATACCAAGCCTTTGGATAATGTCAACGACATGCAAAATCTCCATGGAATCCTCGCTAATAAGTTTCTGGAATAGATGCTTAGCTTCCTCCAATACCAAAGCTTGTCTGATATAGATATCATCCTGAAAATGTCAATAAAAAGGTCAATTTCAGAAAACCTTGGTGGATGAAAAGATCATCAACAGAATTAGAGTTCTATGTGTACGGACCGAATAATCCATTCTTAAACGAGTGTACGTAGTGTTTGAGTAAAAGAGTCTTGCCTTGCCTTCTAACATAGACGTGAAGAAATAAGAGTCTATTTATACCCACAATTTTAGTTGTGTACGCGTGGAATGGTTCTTGCACAAAGTCAAGAATTGCAACTAACTACTTCATTAGTAGGATGATTCACGACTTATGCATTCTCCACTCTTATTTCATTTTCAACCTTTCTTTATTCTTTTCATCGTCACCCTTTATCCTAATATTATTGAGTCAATTTTATATTAAAGATATTCTTTATTTTAAAATATTCATAATAATTTTATTTTGTGTTGATTAGTTAAAAAAAATTATATATATAAACTATCTTAATCTTAATTAAAATTCTTAAACAATTAGAACCAGTGAACGTATAAAAAAATATTTATATTTTTGTTAACTATCATTATTTATTTCAGTTTATTATTTAATTAGTCAATTTTTTCGCTTTCCTTTTTTCTTACTTCTAAATATAAATGATACATATTTTTCCTATTTTAAAGATGAATTAATTATATATATATATATATATATATATATATATATCATTTTTCTTTCGCATCTATGTTATAGATTTGTTTTATTCTCTACCGACCATGTCTTTTGTTTGATATCAACACTTTTTTTTAAAAAGACTATATTTATACAATTTTTTTTAATGGTTAGTTCCACTAATAATCTTGGTTGGACACAATAGGTGTATTACTACATGTATCACAAACACTTTGAGACAGAACAATCTACAAGCCATGACACACGAAAACAGTTTATCCGCAGTACTATATAAATAGAAGAGGATCCTTAGATATATTTTGAATCTCAAACTCTTCCATAAACCTCTTTCACTTGTTAAAGGTCAGATAATTTAAGAGTATTTGTGACATGAAAAACGTCAGGTTATTCTTTTTCTACATGGTCCTGCAAAGTCAAAACACTCGGTGTCGGATCTTCGGAACCGTAAATTCTTCAAAATTATATAATTTTTTTATAAATTATGATTTGGTACTCTTAAATTTAATATAATTTATAATTTTATCTTCTTAAATTTAACCATGATTTAATATATTTATTTATATATTTATAATTTAATTTTTTTCAAATTTTTTTCTTTTTTTTTATATTTATTTATTAATAATATATTATATAGTTATCTAAAATCAATTATCAAAATCTTCCATCCAAAACATCCGAGTTCTGTACCTGACTCACTGTAGAGATTACTTAAGAGCACAATTAAGAAAAATTTATACACTATAATAACCAACATTATTGTACTACAAAGACTAACAGAATAATATATGCACGTTAAAATTAATTATGATATAAAACTAAATATATTATATAAAATTATTATAAATTATAAATTATTCATATATATTTAATATTAATATAAAATAAATATATATAAAATTAAATACGCTTTAATTATGTTTAATATATTTTATATTATAAAAATATTAATTATTATAGAATTTATTATAAATTACTGAATAATATTTTCAATATTATTCTTACTCTTAGAATCTAAATTTGATAATTTAAAATTTATTTGATCATATATTTTATTTTTCTCTCTTGAAAAAATATATTTATAATTTCTTTCTTAAATGTTTCTCAAATTTAATTTCTTTTTTTTACATGTTAACATTTAAAATTGAATATTATAAAATATTAAAATAATTAATTAATTAATTAATAATAAATAATATATATAATAGTAAATAAAAATTATTTACTTTAAAAAATATTAAATTAAAATTAAACATATAAGTTTTATATTATAAGGTACAAATGAAAAGAAGAAAATAATAATTGAAAAAATAATAGAAAAAAAGTTGAAATATGAAAATAAAATGATGAATATTTGAAGTTGAGATAAAAAAAATATAAAGGTGGGAGAGAAAAAATAAAAGATATAAAAATAAAAGAATGAAAAAAATATATAAATAAAAACTTATATTTAAATAAAAATATAATATATATTATTATTATTATATTTTATAAAAAATATAATAATTTTTTATTTATTTATTTTTAAATTTGTATAATTATATATATATATATATATATATATATATATATATATATAAATTGAAATTTGGGAAATTGACCCACCCCTTTGTCCTGTTCTGTCCTTGATTGAAGGATGAAACAATAAAAACAGAAATAAATAAGATAAAAGATAAAAAAGGGAAACAGAAATAAAAGATAAACAGAAATATATATTATATATTTTTTTATAGAAAATAATAATTATTATTATAATAAATATTATTTATTTATATATCAAATTTTTTATTTATATATTTTTTATTATTTTATTTTTATTTTTTTATATTTACATTTTATTTTTATTTTTTTCAATTTTAACTTGAAACACGTCTTTTTAATTTCTCTTTTTTTTCACTTCTATATTTTTCTAGTTTCATCTTTACAGTATAAAAATATAAATATATTTTTAAAATTTATTATTCATATAAAAAATGGAAAAGGAAAATATTTCGTAATATAATCAAAATAAGTAAACTTATATTTTTTTAATATTATATTATTTATTACAAATTATTTTAATATTTTATAATATTCTATTTTGATATAAAATGGTAGAAAAAAATATTGAGTTTTAAAAATACTTAAAAATAATTATATCTTTTTCTTTTTAAATTATCATAATAAAATGAAAAATGTTAAGTTATCAAATTTAAATTAAATGAATAATATTAAAAATATTATTAAATAACTTATTATATATAATTTTTATAATATAAATTAAAATATATTTAATCTCATATAATTGATATTAACGTTAATATATATAATTTAAAATGTTTAATAATTTTATATAATATACTAAATTATATTTTATCGTATAAAAGATTACAATTTTTTTAAGATTTTTATTTTAATTTATTTAAATTTTAGAATTAAATTGAAATTAATATATATTTTAAAGTATAAAAACAACCATTGAAAATTAAAGTTGATATGGCTATATAAAGCCTATTTTTAATTTATGTGATTTTAACATTGTTTTGAATTTTTAAATATACATAAGAATATGATTATATTATGAAATTATAATTGATTTAAATTATTTAATTTTATATTAATAAATGTCATAATTAATTTAAAATATGATATTTTTGTAATATAATTATTATTTTTGAAATATTTTCTGTTTATAAAAGATAAATGTTTTCGAAGAATAATAAAACCGTCTTAAACAGTTATATAACCATTCCGAACATGTATAAATTCTGAACTTTCAATAATTTGACAATCTAAAAAAACTTTAGAATCAATATATAAATTATGAACTTTCAATAATTCAAAAGAAAAAAAAACTTACAACATATCAAACATAAGATTGTATCTCTTGAAGTATTTCATCTAATTCTTAGATAAATCAAATCTTAATTCTTAATTATAATTTATAATAGTTTAAACATAATGTAAAATTACTAACCCTTAATTATTTTTAGCTCAAGATACACATGCACAAAATGTGTTAAATAATGACCAACATATAAATTATTATTTCTAGTATTCAACCCTTATTGTTTTATTTCATATTTATAATTTTAAATTCTTTTTAATCCAATAATATTTAGACATGCATATATAAAAGAATCATGAAACTTGAAAGAGGAAAATGTATATATATATATATATATATATTAAAATATATTCACGTATCAGATTTATTATATTCATCGTAATATATAAGTGTTTAAAATCGAGACAAAAATTAATGTTAATTATTATTATTATTATTATTATTATTATATAAAAGTATTATTTTGAAATATTAAAAATTACGAATTAACTAGTTAATATTATTCTTTAAAATTGAATCAATAAAAAATATAAAAAATAAAATTAATTAAATTTTATTTTATATTTTTAATTGAAAAATTAAAAATAAATCAATTTTATTTAGTTTTTATTTAAAAAATAAAAATGAAATTTAAAAAATTGAATCATAACTATAATATATATTATTTAAAATACAATATAAAAAATAATGAATTAATAAAATTTTTATAATTTAAATTTTTTATTATTTAAATTAAATATGAAATAATATAAAAATAAATTATAATTATAAAAATTAATTATAGATTATATTTTTACAATTTATTTTTTATTTAATAATTATTTATTATAATCTATTCATTAATTTTGTAATGGCAAAAATCATCTAAATCAAATAGTAACTATTAATTTATTTTGTTCAAATTTTTAAAAAGATTACATATATTATGTTTAATTAAGATAAGTTTTTAATATGAAATCTAACCAATGAGCCTATAAGCCTTCGCTTAGATTTTATTTTTTTCAATCATTATATTTTCATCTCAACTAGACATGGCAACGACCCGAGTGAGTTTTACCTCTTTGGTCTCTTTCACGATATTTATAATCATCCTCATTTTTTCTCTACCTCCAATCCTGGTCGACATTAGAAATTAAGTCTCTATTCTTATCTTCGTCAGGTTTTTACGTCTCCGCATCGTCACTCATCTATATTATTTTTAAAAATATAATTATATTTATAATAAATTAATTTTATTATGTATCTTTTATATATAAATAAATATTTATAATTTTATAATTTGTAATTATTATTAATTAAATATATATTTTAATTTATTATATTTATATTAAAAATATATATATATATATATATATATATAAAAGAAATATTTTATCATATTTTATTTATATATATATATATATAGAATATTTATAACATTATTATTATTGTTATTATTATTATTATTTTCAAATATTTAAAAATATGAAATATATAGTTTATAAAAAAATATTTAATAATTTAATTTTTATTTAGTTAGTTCGAAATAATAAAATTTTAAATTATTAATTTTTTTAATCTTTTAAAATATAATTATTTTATTAAAATAAAATTTGATATATGACAAATAATAATAATAAAATTAAAAAATATAACATAATA